ACTTCCTGTATCCATTGTTGTTACCACGTCGCTTGTATTTCGCCCAGCAGTGCCTTTTTAGGCTTGGCAAACGGAGAGTGCGGTGGGTTGCTTGTAGGTTTCGAAGGCCATTGGCGGAAAAGACTACTTTGTTGCACATAAGCTTGTATGCAGCAAGAAATCACAATTACTTGAATGGCTCGAATGATTGCAGACAAAATAGAAGATGCTTTCAATAAACCGGCTTCCATTTTTAGTCGCAATGTATCTCTGATGTCTTCAGGTGGTGACTTGAGCATATTTACCGAGAAAAAGAAAAATAGTAAATTTCAGTGAAACACCGTTCTGAGTCCTCGAGAATATTTTAATTTTCGTAGTGAAGGACTCATGGGAATTCGTTTGAACTAGCTCAGTCTGCTCTCTGTGAGATCATCTGACATTTTTAATGGCTCAAACAAAATATTGATGTGGTAGACCCACATGTTTTTTTTCCAGCCGAGGATCGAATACAGTATGACAGCTGTAACAAGTAGTATCACAGAGCGTGCATTGGACTCACCCTGACTAAGTAAAAAGGTGTTGCAAGCCACTGTCACGTTGACTGTGCAGATCATGCTGCTGAACAGAGTTTCCGCTGATTCTTTAGGCTAATGAGCTGTTGATTACAGTTAGAAAATCGCTCTCAGATAAACTGTCAGTAGCAGATGTGTAGCTGTCAGTTTTCAAGGAAGTAGAGAGCGTTGCCATGAGTCCAGTTTTAGATATGAGTGAAACCATCAAGACGGATGCCTATGATATAGCCAAAAACAAATACACATATTTAGACATGGTTGCAAGAAAAATGAAGAAGCGAGCTAAGTAGCAAACTACAGACATCTCTGAAGTATGTGAGTTAGCTTTTTCAACCACAAGTGCCTATATTGAAGCAAAAACAAATATGCAGCAGCAAAACCTGAGTGGGGTAGATGATTTTACCGAGAGGCAAAATAAGGCCAATGATTGACAGAAACAGAGTGAGACTGGCACAACCGATGCAAAATCGGATTATGAGGATGAGAGTGTTTTATGAAACAAAACTACGCAGTCTATCAAGATGAATCTCACTGAGATGTTAGTCAAATTTTTTCAAGTTAATAGGGTCTCGTGATAAAGAACTAAAGGCTAGACTTGAACACTATCTAAGCCACATTAAGTCTGTAAAATCCAAACTATGGTTTGGATAGAGGAATAGCCGTCCAGGTACGTTGGATACGCGCCCTTTCCCTTCGAAATCAAAACAAGTAATGGGGTAAATAGCGGTTCTATAATTCATCATAAATTTAAATGTAAATCGTTACCTAAACAAATATTGCCACCCGGCTATTCAACCAATAATTGTTCAATCAACAGAATCTAAATTACAATAAACAAAGTAGTTGATGAAAGATGAGGGAAAATTACCAGTCACAACAAATGAACGTTATTCTATCCTGACTGGCTAGAACACACACAAAAGGAGGAGCAAATCAATATGGCTACCGCCAAGAACAAGTGTCAAGTAAAACAACACGGATACAATTCGGAAGAAACACAAATTTAGTGAATGCGTAAGAAAAACAGAAACAATCATAAAAAATACAAGTATTAGCAATTCAAATGTAATCAAAAGACAACAATGTACAACTAAGGGGATCAATAGGAACAAAGCACAAGTATATACATGGAGGGATTTTCACAAACACACAAAACATTCAAATGGATCTTACAAAGTCCTTAATAAGCAAGGTACTGCAGGAAACAGTGACAGGATTTAGCATTGTAGCCTTTGCTGTCATTTTTGTGATGCCTCCTCTAAATGATACTTAAGCATAACTTCACTGACTTAGCACTAGGCCTGTAGATGACAATTCACAACGAGATTCTTCTGAGATATTCGACCTCATGCAAAGTACAGAGATCAGGATACTGATACTTTTTTAGAAGACATTCATTTTATCGGGGAACGGCATTCTGTGTCTTCCATACGTTCCCGTTTTACCATGTCACACCTCATCAATTTATCTAAAGAGTTGGTTGAGTATAATGTTTCAGTTTAAAATTTATCTCACAAACACAAAATGCAATATAGTCGTCACCATAGAGTTTCAGGACTGCCTTAAAAATATACCTAATGCCGAGGCAAAACCATCTAAATTCAGTGTGTTTGGGAAAATTAGTGTGCTAACGTGTGAGATTGTAATGTTTTGATTCTAATCGGTATGAAGTGCAGTTGTCTATGTTACTACAATAATAGATCAGTTTCGTTGCTGTAGATTTGTTATGATGTGACCATCCAATCTATAAGATTTTACATGGACGATAAAATATTATCTATACTGATTCATCTAGTCGTGACAGTCAGTGGTTGTGGTCGATGACTTCCGACTAATACATTTGGGCTGGGGTGAGAATAATATATTTAATGTGAGAAGCAAGAGGCTACAAAGATTGATTACGCCTGCATGGCCGAGCTATTCAATCGCGATCAAGTTTTCCAGCGTTCACCTTCTCTGGCCTCTATGTGTCAGGTCATGAGTGTAAATTTCCTCAGTAATCTCATATTCGACTGCAAGGATAGTGTGATTGAAAACTAGTAGGATACAAGTCAATGTGATGCTGTTAAGCAACTAGAATAGATTATCTTTAATTTGTATGATCGTAAAGCAATGAGCTAAAAATATGGGATATCGGCGTCTGAGACACAGAAGATTAGATTGTACTAATGGTATCAATACTATCTTTACTGACTGGTGTCCTTCGAGTAGTCGTGAGACTTTTAATAGTTCCACTTTAGGAAGTTTGTGCTCCTTGTTAACATCCATCCTAAGCATTCTTTCTGTCATTAAAATCTGTGGATGAAACTGGAGTAGTCTTTTATGTTTACGATTACCAGAGTGATATTACAAAACTTAACTTAGCTAAAACTGGAATCCTTTTGCTTATACAGTTTGTTGCTATCAGAATTTTAACGTCTTTCTTCAACCGATTAAGTGACATTTATGAACAGAAACCCCTAATGAATTTCGCCTGATACGTAAGCTTAGAATATTTTCAAAGGTCACCGCCGGTTCCTTATGACTCTGCTTACGGTAGATCATAGTAACGCTCCTGATACTACCTGTTTAATTCAAAGAGTTCTACAGGGAGGAACAAATTTTTTGAGAGAATCTAGCACAGTCTATGTCACCGTAGTGTTAAGTTGCAACGTACCGTCAGTGATGTTTGCGTCCGATGAATCAATGCTGATGGTACTGAAATACCTATTTTTTGACTTCCTGAGTGTCCTTGATTGATTATCTGTTTTTGGCTGTTTTCTTAAAAATAGTTTACATAAGGACGGTTAAGTATTAGCTGTGAATAAATTTATTATCAGTATAGGATTGTGGAGATTGTTGAGTTTCACACGATGATCATGTGCTTACTGGTGAATAGCTTCGAGATGGGTTTCCTGTAGTTCTAGTGAGAAGCTGTGACCAGTGGAGTTCAGCTGTGTATATTTTAGAGACATTTACACAATGAAGTCAATGGTGAACGGCTGTTCAATATTGTGGATTGGTTGAAATCGGATAATAATACCGTTGAACGTCGGCTCAGTGGTCTACAGGTTAAGCTTTCGCCCACGAGAATAAAGGTCCTGGGTAATAGTTCCTTTGGCGCAGGATCGTGGATGCGCATTGCTGAGGAGTCCTATATTAGGACGAAGCTGCCATCCAATGTTTCCAGGCTTTCAATGATGGTCTAACATTCATCCATTTACGATATCAACTGAAAATAAAATTATGATTCAACAAGTGGCAAAAACAGCGAACAACTGTGAAAGATTAATATTATGGTGATAGTCGAATTGAATAGTGCAATTCAAGACAAACAGAAATTCAGGAACTCAAATGTACGTATTAGATTTGAAAGTCGGAACATGAGCGTAGTCAAGTTAAAGGGGGTCATCTAGTGATACAAATGCCATAAATAGTCTGTAAATATACTGAACAAATGGACTTGTTATGAAGAACGGTAAACACCAAACAGAAACCTGGACCAATCTCCAGTTAACTAATAATGCGGACACGACCCGAATAAGAAAAATAATTCCTAAATCCTGAGGTTTGAATGTGCATTATGGGTCAGAAAAGAATATTTGTCGCATCTGAATACGACGAAATCTGAGGAATGCAAATATTGCACTGATATCATTGAAACGCATTTTTGGCCAGCTTGACAGAAAAAATCCACACACAATCTTCAATAGTTTTATTCGTCCCCATTTAGAGTACGGAAACGCAGTATTTCCTCCCTCACTTCAAAAGGATAAGCATACTCTTCAAAGGCGAGCCACGAAATCAGTTCGTGGACTCGTGTTCAAGTCTTATGAAGAGCGCCTCCAATCACCGAAACTTCACCTACTCGAGTATAGGCGTCTTAGAGGTGATCTTCTAATGGCTCGTAGTATCCTTAACTCTTCTGGACATCCGCTTAAACACCTACTGAAGCTTAGTTGCAACACAAACCTTAGAGGTAACACCCGGAAACTGGAGACACGACCTAACATAACAGATCATAGGCGGATCTGCTACTCGGTAGGAGTAGCCAGATGCCGGAATTCACTGCCGGCTGAGCTAGTCCAAGCGACTTAGCAGGAGTCCTTTAAGAGAAAATGTGACATATTCTTAAGGACTAAGGACGGTACCTAACTATGATTTGCCAATTTTTTTCTCTTCTATCGTCAAATATATCTAGATATCAACCTAACAGCATCGATGATCCACTGCTATTAGATACGTAAGTTCTTTAAGAGAAGGCTTGGTCTATTCTATCCACAACCATTTGAACTCTAAGCTAATACTCCTTGTTCGTAAAACGAGCATGTACTGATTCATACTCAAAAGTCACTGTTGTTTATCGCAATATGGTGCCGAAAACAACGACCACCTAGCTGTTTTTCGCCTAACTTGCTTTGGCGTTTTAAATGTGTTGGATATCGAAATAAAGTCAAGATCAGAGTTCCTGTTTTTAAATCTGAAGGTCGTCCCCGCGCTTGGAGTTTCTAGGACGACGGTGAGCTTGTCATCCCGCTGCTAGTCAGCTTCTGTTTGTTTGTAGTTTTTAATATCTGTATGCATCGTATCAAACTCATCTTACTGTTCATAGTGTCTTGAGACCATTTCTTCTTCAGTGAAATTTAGGTTAAAACTACGACTTCAATCTAAATAAGATGTCAAAGTTTTTTGGAGACCGGTCGTATGACAGTAACAAATCGAGTCCTGTAAGCTCCTCACACAGTTAGGTCCCTCTAATTTAACATAACTAATCTAATAAGATGTTCATTCAATAAACCGTTACTTGTAAAATACCCCGGTCGCTTTACTGTATTTCGGCTAACTGTTAGTTACTTTACAACTATAATACTAACTATGGCATTGCTTTCAAATTTTTCTTGAGCAATTAGTCAATTCTACGGCGTTTGCTGATAAGCCTTTTGATGTCTACCAATGTTTGTCATTAATTTCATGTTTTTTTAGTCTAATAATCTACGTTAATATTGCCACTATAATTATGCAAATGCAATCGCATCTGTCTGATCTGTTAACCACAAGTATACGGTAATGACTGGGATTTATTTGACACGACTACGGATCTACTGGGATAGGTAAAACTACAATATGTTGTGCCCTAGAATATTTAACATTCATGCTTTACGTATGTGCGTTAGAATAGCGGCCTAGCGTGATTCATTATAGTTACAATTAGCTGAGATAAAATTTTCCAGCCGAAAATAATCAACTTGGATCACTATAAAATATTTCCCACTGAGAATTCATATAGAACATTTTTAGTGTCAGTCTTTTCTCACATCAAGATTTAAGTGTTTCTATGTAGTGTTATACACTTGTTCTTTCAACCTAGTAAATACCCCTTTTACCTTTCATCTACAAAACAAATAAGTTTATCATTAATAGCACAAGTAACTGCCAGATTTTGTGTAGCAGTCAGTGTTAGTAGCTTGTACAAGGTTACTTCCTGTAAAGGTTAGTTGAACTGATTGTATGGTATGGGTAGTGACTTGTTGAAACAGTAACCATAAAATAAATAAAACTATAAATTAGCACTATTAAGTAGGAGCAAAGCAAGAGCAATTGCAGTTTGAACTGAAGTGTTAAGTGTTATTGAAAACTACTTTCATCTAACATTCACGGGCAATTTGCCGATTAACGTAAAGTAAGTTGCTTCATTACTCACTAATGCCCTTATTATTGTTTCATGTGTACAATGAGCTTAAAATTCTTGTTTACAGGTTATTTCCATACCAACGGAAATGCTGTGACGTATAATTTCAAATTAAAATTATCGTTTACATTTAACACGTGTTTCTGATTTTATCCCCTTTTGAACTTAGCTGTTAGTGAAATTCAAAGTGACATAGTTGGAATCGTCTATTATTGATGTGAATATTTATCCCAGATAAATACTTTTGACGTGTAGTATCGTGAAATAACTCACAAGGTGCTATCATACGTGTTAGCTAGATCCCAACCGATTGGCATTCGGCTAACGTTATTAGAGTTTGTTCTATGAATATATAAGTTAGCATTTCAATATTGAATAACACCCGTTTGTATTTACATTTTGCTGAACTGGTGACAATTACGGAGTGGTTCATCAATCTGGACAGTTATACTGATGTAAACACAAATTGTATTGAGGAGTGGGAATTTTTAAGCGGTAATATATTTTTATTGCTTACCAATTTTCAAATCACATGAGCAAAATAAACAGCACGCATCCAAAATATCTCAAGGCTTTAATTCAAATAATTAAGTTTTTTTATGTCAGAATTAACCATAGTTACCTTCAATTTACTTTGATCTAGGAAACAAATCTGCTTTGGTTATGATCATATTTGATTTTCCTATTGCGTGGTTTTAATTTACTGTTTGTTATGTCTGGAAAGAAATAAAGTTATTGTGATTAATTCATCATTGTTAAATTCATTACCTAGTTGTTTGAAATAGTATTCATATCGCATATGCAAAATTTGATTCAGCATATAAATGTCACGATCAAGTTCCTCTCTTTGTACCCCTAAACGCATACTTTAATCTTTATTCTGACATTTCCATTTTCAATATTAAGTATATACACAAGTTACCGCTTCAGAAATGATTTACTAACCATAGTGCATCTGAACACTCTTCGAATTACTCCTTTTTATTTGATCATTCAATGAGGCATTTTTATTTTGAGCACGACTGCATCACCAGCATGGTTTTGTATGGCGAGAATTCTTTATTCGGATTTTACGTTTCAACTACGTTTCATCAAATTTTAAGTTACTACTATTCAAAACCCATAGTTTACAAATCACAAACATTAAGTGGGTCCACTTTCGTCCTAATTCTGTAGTCGGGAATTATTTCAGGTTTTAACCTCTTGTAATTATTAATATTTTTAATGGTGATCTGTCCCTTCCCTCTGTAGATATCGTACTACTAAGTGGCCAGTTACAGGTGTGCACAAATGACCTGTATATCAACTTATGTGGTCAAGATACTCTTCATTTTTCTCGGGTTTTGGTCCAGGATTCCTCCTAATAAAGCATATTCTCTAGAGCAGTCGTCCCCCACCTCTCATAATCACTCTGTAAACGATAGTCTCAAACATCTCCATATTTTATTTCGACATGGTGACAGATCTCCAATCGTTAACATGCCTGCTATTTTACACAAAATTCCTTTTGCTTGGTCGCAAGGCTTCGGCATGCTTACAGACAAAGGTGTAGAGCAGCACTTTTTTCTTGGGAAGTGGTTACGATCAAAGTATCAAGGATTTGTTCCCAGTAAATATAACGGTTCTTATTATCATGTTCGTAGTACGGATGTCGATAGAACTCTAATGTCAGCAATGGCAAATGCAGCTGGGTTTTATAACCAGTCTCCCTCTCCTCTGTCCGCTATGGCATCAATTGGTTTCCCATACCTGTTCATACAAAACCTCAAGTAAGTATAACTTTATGTTAACCTGAAGATTAATTTTGAGAGCTCAGTTTTTGTATCTGTATGTATATCAACCGAATTCTGTGTTAACTCTTAGAAGTCAAAAACTCATATTTTCAAATAAGATTCAGGAAACGTAAATCGAAAGCTGTTCACAAGACTCTAAGATCATGATCATGTAACGGGATTCTAAACTTTTGTTTCATTGTTAAAACAGCAATAGGTGATACCTTGTTTGTGACTGCATCTTAATGAGTGCTTATTTCGTCATAATAGTATTTCTATTTCCATCTTAACGAAGTGAAGCTATATCATTAATAACTATATATTAGCTGTATTTCATAAGTCAAAAAGGTATCTTATCATTTTCAGTTTTTTATGTTCATGTTTATTTTATTGATGCTTTTCTCTACAAAAAGTGTCTATAGAAACTCCTAAACGCTGATTTATCTAATGATAACACTTTTAATTCGGCCGTATTGAGCTTAACACTTAGAAAATTGTGTACATACTAGCCTGGTTTAGATCAGAGTATCATTTCTGGAATATATTTGTCTAGATTTTCCTTTAGTTTCATACGTTTCTTTTCTTTTCTTGTACCAACCATATAGTCCGAAAAATTTTCTTTTAATTAATTAGGAAGCTCCTCCACAGCGTAACCTGATTGACACTTTTTAGTGTCTCAGTAATATATAAACTTAGAGAATTGATTTAATTTAATACATAACGTTTGAGTCTTTCAATTTAATCGAACTGTAGAGCGACGTAAAGATTTCTAATATACTTTTGAATGCAAGTTCTTTCCCATGCATTCCTTGATAAAATCAATATTTGCCGTCGCTTCACTGAGCCTTGGGTTGTAATTCAGATATTCCTGGAGAACCTTTGACACAAACGTCTGCTCAGAACATTTGAATATAGTGAAAAATCTCATTTTTACATGGTTAAAATAACGACTCGAGTGAAGAAATTTCCTTCCGATTAGTTTTTAATCATGGCTCTACACTAATATATATATATATATATATATATATATATATATATATATATATATATATATATATATATATATATATATATATATATATATATATATATATATATATATATATATATATATATATATATGATTTACAACAATGAAACAATACTCGTCGAGTAGTTACGTTACGTAGTAAGTAGTTTTCATACTCCATTTCATTTCACTTACTTACCTTGATTTAAGTGATTCAACGATTGAGTTTTGACCAGTTTTTCACAATATTCATGATTATAAAATAAATTTATTTAATGTTGTGTACTCATCTTTCATCTACACATTTTATAAGGGCTAGTAATATCGCCTGATTGCTCAAATAAAAGTGAATTAAAGTTTGAACCATCAACCCAGCGGTTGAATGTTGAATGATTTCACTACCATGTCACCGTTTTATTTACAAAATATCACTATCTACTTATGTTGTTACTATCGCGCACAAAATACAGTATAAGGGTACCAATGTATAAGGAAAATGAAATAACTATGAACTTTAGGGGTAATGAAGTATCATACTTTGTTATTCATTCCACTTAACTAACGAATTACATTACATTCTATCATCTCTAACTAAAGTTAATATTCATCGTGGATATAGCTATAATCGATCGTCGACATTTTAATTAATTTCGGTAAGTAACACTTGTCTGTATATGTCACTGTTTTAAAATATGAAACAATATTTTTTTAGACCTCAAATACTCAAACTATATAAATAAGAGTGATGCTGTAGTCTAGTGGGTAAATGTCGTTAGCCTACACCACTGTGGCTGTGTGATATCCCAACTGTATTCATTATGATATACCTCTTAATTATTGTCAATATCAGCGTACATTGTCTTACATTTTTGTTTACAGGTAACAGATACACTTTTGGGTGTTGCACCATGTCCTTATCGGGATTCGTTACAACGTATACAAATGGATAGTCAACCATCTATTGAATTTGAGAAAAATCACTCAAATTTATTTGTCAAACTTACTAATGTCGCTGGTATTGGTCCAGTTAATCGTCATAATGTATGGTCCATATCCGATTTTATTACATGTATGATTGCTCATAACATTACCCTTCCTGATTGGTGTACAGATGATTTTTTAGCAGAATTATATGAAGTCAATAGATTCTATTGGGTGGTAAGCATTTTTTCCCACAATTAGATATATGTGATGAGGTTATTTGCTTATGTATTATCGAATATACAGTTATTTATTAATTTTGAGAGTGCGAGCAAACCAGAGGACATACTTTCACTCAAAATACATAAAACAGATATTTCCCAACTATAAACGCTAGATAGTTATTGTTATAACCCAGCTATTCCTATTGCTTAGTATTCTCGGACACCGACTCACTCGACAAGTCCCCAAATCAGAACACGGTTGAACAGGGAAGAGGTTATATTCCAAATAACAAGGTTAGATGGAAGTAAGAAGCAAATAGGAAATGCAATAGGGAGAACGTTAGTATATTTATAGCTTTTAAATGAGAGGATCCTAGAGTGTTCACTAAGTATTACCTAACGCTGATTGGCTAATTCTCATCCAATCAGCGTGCACCAAAGCAATTATGCATTGAGCATGCTTTAATCCAGTCCTGCTAACAGTTATGTAATCAAGGTAACTCGTTCATTTTCTGTCCGTTAATTTATTGTTAAGACGACTAGAGAACATTCTGGCTCTATACTAGCTTCTATTTTGAACAAGTACTTATAATATTCAAAGTCACTGGATTATACACAGGTATCCTTGATACATTAGCGTAAGTTAATTTTCTCTTCATAATTTACGTCGTGAACCGATCATCTCTCATTTTCCGGTTTAACACGTGATTGTTGGATAATTTCTACAAAATTAACTATATAATAGTAAATCCAAGTTAACCAGTTTTAGGCAGAGATGGGTAGTGACTAAAAATGGGATCCAGGACGTGCGTTTCGTTTTATCTGGAATTCGTCGGTTAGATTTACCTGTGTCTCAAAATTGATACTTTCTCCTGGATTCGAACCCATTACCTTTCGCTTCAGATGCCAGCGTGTTATCCGCTTAGCTACCAGGTCCAGATAGTCATTTTAATGTAACGATTTACTTTAGAAGTTTCACTAAACAAAAACTTGGTAATTTGCCTGAACAAAAGTGGTGACGTAATTGTTAATGAGCTTTTATCATATTAAAATGAATTTTTACGGACTCGAACTTTTAATATACTCAGCTGTTACCTGTTTAGCTCAATATATAAGTTTCTCATTCAGTTTCAATGGATTAATGATTTACTAGTTAAATAACTTGATTTTCAACCACTGGACTGTTAGTTTAAAATTTTTTTACCTACTTTAGTATGGGCGACATGATAGTGTAACTAGTCTCTACAAAAATTAATTTACTCGTCATTGAGTACGTGAACCTTCCCTTAATTACTAAATTACTTGTATCTCGATCTCATCGTCTAAGTAATACGTATGTATGGTTGAATAACTAATTGAAGAATTTAAAGGTCAAACGTTAATGGGTTATGAATATTGATCGCTTGATATAGTTTAAATATGATTAAAACCATTTGAAAGTTGCAGTAATCACATTTTCTTTCAATATATTTTGACATAAGTATCAGAGAGAAAGCTGTAATTTGTACCAAGTACAAATTTATGTAATCGATTTTTAGTAACACGTGTGTTGCATGAAGACTAAGAATAATACCAAACTGTTTAAACGGCAGTACTTGGAGCAGGATTCGAACATGTAAGCTAGCAGTTGAAAATCATGTAAACTTACTACTAAAGCACTACTTCTAAAAATTTGATAATCGTTTCTTTTTTAATGTTTGCAAAATTTGGAAGCAAGTTTTTACTGGGTTTTAATTGTATAGTTTTTAAATAGTTCCAACTTAGTACCTTACTACAAATGGTGAGCAGATCGAACATTGGTACTAAAAAATTTGTCAGAATTCATATCAAGGTGTACAAAACTTTGTATATTGACTAAAGTCAATATTATACGTTATTTACTGTATAATACATTTGTCTGATTTGCTTTATCATATACAATGTCTCTATTTTTCTTTATATCAACCAAACATTTCCCATTTAACCTCATAAAATAGTAAATACTAATTAATTAATTGATCATTTGTGATTGGGCTACGTATGCTAGCCTTCAGTCGCTCGTTTCCATCATTTGAAAAAATCTTTGCAAATCATTCATAATGCTATATTTTTCTGCGTAAATTTTAAAATATTCAAATTCCTGTCAAACAATAAAGTAAGTTATACTAACCTGGTGATAATATCAAATACATATGTAAATGTCTATTTTTTTTCGTCAGAAAAAATATTCTTCTTCAGATGATATCATTCGGTTGGAAATCGGTGTCTTCTTAAACACATTCGTTAAACATATACATTCCATCATACGTGGGGAACAATTGAATTTAACTTATGAATATACATTATCCACCGAACATATGATGATTTATTCAGCTCATGATACTGATGTAACTTATATTTTAGCTGGTTTCGGTGTTTATAATAATCAAACAATTAATTATGCATCTACTGTTATTCTAGAATTACATGGTCCAGATAAATCTAGCAAAGAAAGTGATTATCGTATAAAATTGTTGTATAAAAAAGGTTGGACTGATGAAACTGGTGAATATTTAACCTTACCAGCTTGTAAAGGTCAACCTGGTTACAATGGTTGTCCTGTGAATCTTGTATTGGAACAAATTAAACCATTATTATTGAGTACTGATAGATTTTATAAAGAATGTTCAATAGATCAACCGGATAGCGTAAATTATCGATTACATCCAATTGTATTTATCTTTGTCGGTGCAGCAATCTCCTCTGTAATAATGCTTCTAGTCTTTTGGTATTATTCACTGCGTTTACGTCGTTATAACAGTTTAGACGTTACGGAACAACCAATATTATAATTGGTAAATCAGGAAATGAAAATAAAAGAAGATATCTAGTAACATTATTGTTAGAATCATCGTCATTATTACCTAAATCATTATCATCACAACGTATTTTTTACTCTTCCCTCCCATGTGTTGTTCTGCGACGATTTGCTATTTTTTTATAAAACAGTGTTGTTTAACTCTTTTTGTTCTTTTTTATGATCATTTTGAATGTTGATTATAGTTTTCTGCTCATATATATACATTATTGTAGACTTATTACTTTGTATTTTGTTATATAATTAATAAATTAATGCATACTCAGTGAACTGAACTGTACTGAAATTATTGTATCACTTGTTATACTTGGTTAATGCTTTAGTATTGGTTATTTTACGATCGGTATCCCAGGTTTTATGATATGCCAAGAGTATTTTGTTAGGAGACACAGAAGAAATGTTAGAACACAAAGAACGAGTTTGGCTATGATGACCAAAACGAACTGCAATGTTATCGAAAGTGCTTGGATGGTTAAAAATTCTCGATTACCATTACAGTGGAAGGAAGTGAAACGGGATGACTAGACTGATAACTTTTGGTATTAAGCTTTAGTATTTTACATCGGTCAATACAAAACAAGTTGTTCGATAATATTCCAATCAGTGACTCTTTTAAGTATACCTATCCAATATGAACAAGCAGATTATTAAATTGACAAGCAATGGATTGCGCTGAACAGCACATGTGTCCTCGAAAATATCGGAAGACTAAAAATGGTCTGGTACCAAAATAATATTATACAGTAGACGTTCAGCTTTCTGTTTTAAGCAACATAAAAATGTTACAGTAGAAACACCGTTTATTTATTGTTAGTAGTAATAATGTAGTGAACAGAACACGAGTGGGGACAATCGAATGTATTTAACACAAAATTACAGAGCATCTCAATAAAATCTGAGGACCATATATCAAATCATTAATTTGCAAAGTGTCCACCAATTGTTTCAAATGCCTCAGACTTCATTGTTCTTGCATTTTCATACAAATTGCATTCTATTCCCGCTCTTGCTTTCTTGATCTTCCCCGATCTTCTGCTGCCAGACATTGCATTCCTGAATCGCGTCATAAGTAGCACGCACCACAATAGTAGTAACCTTACTCAATATTATATTTTTGGTACAATATAGAATTCTCAACACAAAGTATTTCAACGAGTTTTCTTTTCTTATTTTAATCGCTGAAATATTCCCATTATATTAAAACACAGTTGTATGAACGAAGAATATTCTTGTCAATAATTTCTCATCAGGTTCTACAATTAATAATCCATAAAACTGGCCAGATTCAAGGCAGAGTACATCATTTGGAAATTGTAATATATAGATTGAGAATTGTTGTTTGTTATATAAAATCAATTCAGATTGTTAATGTTGGGGCTGTTTATAATAAAGTGTTAACTTGAATCAGTTTATAAGCGAAATGAAATTGTGTGATAAATGATCAGAATAAATGTGGTCAACATGGGGTGAGAGAGAAAATAATGGAATAAAAATCAGAAATTGCGTAATATGTCGAATAATATGAATTAGGTCAGATATAGAAAATAGGGGTGAATGCTGAATAAATATCTTGAAACGGTTATCAAGTGTAATAATAATAATGATAAAGATAATAATGACAATGGTAAGATGCTTGGATAAGTTAAGTTTGGGAAGTTTTTATGTCCTTATTTCTTGATCGATCCTTGCGATAAATAGTGAGTGGTCGCCAGTCAGATGTTAGTAGTTCAGGACTCGACATCTGAATAGTGTATATTCTTTTCGGTGCATATAACCAGCAACCACGATGTCTCTGATTGGGCTCTTATGTAACTTGTACAGTGAAATGTAAACTTTTCATAAACGTGCCTGAATAGGTTATGAGACTAATAGGCATAATGATGTGCTAAAACAAACAAGCAAAAAGATAACTTGTTGAAATATCCAGATGGCAGGAATGGGTAGCCCAGATATTCAAGCAGGCCACATCTATAGTGGTTTACTGTGATTAGTTCAACAACTCACAAAAGTATCACAGTTAAGGAGTATTCAGATTATGCCACAGCATTAATCATTGTCTGAAGTAAATAAATTTCTGCTTCATCCGTCAACAGATTTAAGCATTAATATCTGATTAAGCCACTTCTTATACCATAATATTTTATAAATTTCTAGTGGCTTTCGGATTGCTTCTCTTTTAGAATAATGAAAATGTCCCTAAAACAGGAAATTTTGGTTGTGTCGATGAAAACAATTATTATTAAGCATCCTGATTTAGATATAATTATTCAGTAACTAATATAACTTGAATAATGTAATAAAATTTACAGGAAGGGAAAGGAACTAGTAATTGGACCTTTAAGTTATTGATAAGTTTAAATTTCAAAACAAAATTTTAGTTACAAAACTGTCGTATAATTTGACTGGGAAAATCTTCCAACTTTTGAGCAAAATATTTTACCGAAAAATGTTTATTTTGTAAAAGTCTAATATGAGATTAGTTCGTTCGAGATTTTGGAGACTTGTTAGCGTTATTTGAATTGTTGATTAAACTGTGGTAATACAGTATCGAACATATAGTGTCTAGTATTATGTCGAGCCCACATGGATTGCTCTAGGATCCGTACAGACCGACTGGTTCAGTTTTCATGAGCCACATTTCAATCTTGTCAATTATTCGATCATTAACATTGACTGTTCTTATATGAGCGTAAGTGTGTGTATTATTTACCCTATTCATTACGTGTCAGAAGTTTGTTTTTGTCTGGCTATGAACATTGAACCTCACTTTATCAAAATGTGTTGACTCACTCCCCTTGCTTTCCCATAAATATGTATGTGCTTAGATCTTATTAATTGATCCTCATTTGTATTCGCTGTCTTGCGCGCATTAGCTTTTTGCTCGAATCCTCTTGATGTGCTTGTGGCTTAGTGATCGATGCTATCCAATAATTAATTGATCTGTATGGAAGCTAGAATAACCCATGTGAGCTTGACATAGTATTCGACACTGCAAACAACTCTTCCGACTGTGCAACAGATAATCCACACAACGAATATATTTTAGTAAAAAAAAATTTCAATAGTTGAACTTATGAGTCAATTGAAGCTAGACCACCATGGAAAATATGGAAGCACCGGATGGCCGTTTCGTCCTAGTGTGGGACTCCTCAGCAGTGCGCATCCATGATCCCTCTCCCTGCTAGATTCGAACCCAGAACCATCAGCAAACTTTAGAAGTATCCAGAAATAGATGTGTTCCACCTGCACCACACTTTTCTACATATCGGGATAGAACTTTTTCTCATGGTTAGCGTTTTCTAGCAAGAATCTTTCTTATGAAATATCTCTAAACCTATACCCAACTCTCCTTTTCTCGGACTTGAGACCGGCAGTAACCCTAGAGCAGCTACGGGTAGAGTTGGGTTTTACGCATAGTACTTCTATAAAGTTGTCCAATAATAAGTGGTATATCTCAGTCATTTCTAATTTCCTGGAGTTTAGTCGGTGAATGGGAGTTTATTCGATCATAGTGAGTGGTTGAAAGTCACCAACTAATCGTTTAAATTATGTCACTGTAATCAGTTGGCTTTATTGTGCAACCAACTTCCGGTGCCATTAGTTAAAAACTGTCTTACACGCAGGAGAGCTGAACTCCATTTATTACGTCAAAAGATATATCATATTCTGACTAAACAAAAACATCTTACGCCTAACATTTCAAAAGAAGAATTGAAGGCTCCATATTCGCTTCAGAAAGACGAAACTATTATAGTCACAAAAGCTGACGAAGGCAACATAACAGTGGTCATGAATAGAAAAGATTATATGAATAAAGCTCTTGAACATCTCTTTACAGGACCATATGAAAAGATCGATCCCAAAAACCCTTTAACGACTAGAAATAGTCAAATCAGAGACAAGTCAACTTTTGAAGGGACTAAAACTAGTCATTAGTGTCTCGCTATAGTGTGCTCTATATCCCAACTCATGCAATACTTCACGTTTTTATGGTTTACCTAAAATTCATAAACCAGACATCCCCCTAAGACCTATAGTAGACTTCACAAACACACCAACATATGCATTATAAAAATATCTGAGCAAAATATCAAAGCCACTACAACTTACATAATATGATTAAAGATTCTTATGACTTTAAATACAAAATATCGAATTAATTATCGAAAAGGACGAAATCATGGTAAGCTATGATGTTTCATTATACACTAGTATTCCCATTGATAAATGCTTAGAATTCATTAGTGATTTGCTAGAGAACAACAATACTCTTTTTGATAAATGTCCTTTAAGCATCCTTAAAACTACTTAAATTCGCCGCTATTAACTTTTAACGGGACTTTATATAAACAAACTAACGATCGTAGCCAACCTGTTTATAGCACACGTAGAATCAGATATTTTCTCCAGTGACATTAAACCACGAATTTGGCTTAAATATATAGATGATACCTTTGTTATGATAAAAAAGACTCGTCTAAGATCTTTTTCGAAACGGATCAATACACTTTCATCGCACATCAAATTTACGAACGAGAATGAAAATGAACATGGTGAGCTACCATTTTTAAATTGCTTAGTGGGAAGAAATCTAAATGGAAATCTAAATATATCCATCTACTGAAAACTTACACACGCTAATCGTTATATTTACTTCAATTCAGAACAACCATTCAATGAAAAGATCTCGCTAGCCCTAAATCTTTTTAGAAGAACTAACAAGATTATCACATCAGAAGAGGATAAACAAAAAAACAAAAGAATGTAATTAGCATCTTATAATTTAATAATTTTTCTATGAAGATTAATAGAAGTATATTAAAACAAGACGTTTCATTGCGTAATAATAATAATTTGAATGAAATACCATGGATTGGCAATGCAGTTTTACCATACCGTCATGGCACAACAGAAGAAATCCAAAGAATCTTAAAACAACACAGAATTAAAGTATATTACAAAACAACGAACACACTTCGAAATACTTTAGTTCGCTTAAAAGAAAAAAAAATCCCCTTCATGTCAACACAAAACTGTGTCTACAAATTAGGTTGTATCGATTGCGATGCCTTTTATATTGGAGAGTCATCTCGCGAAATTTGACTCGAGCCAAAGGACATATTAGGTACACAAAGAAACCTCCTAATAATCCCATAGAACTGGATAGACTTCAAATTAAATTGGCAATAGCAGTTCACGCCATTTTCTACAACCACCAAATCGGTTTCAAAAATATCAAAATATAACAAAACGGTTTTTCCAGTTACAAAGAAAGGAGAGTAGCTGAAGCGTTCCATGTAATATTTAATTC